ACAGGCACGCGCTACCACGCCCAGCTGATTTTTTGATTTATTGTAGAGATGAGGTCTTGCTGCCCAGGCGGGTCTCGAACCCGCGGGCTCAGGCAATCCACTCACCTCAGCCTCCCAAAGGCACGGGATTACAGGCTTTAAGAGGTTTTTACAGTGCAGATGAATTGTCTTTTCTGTGCATTCAGTTTGCATGACATCACATATGCATGCATGGCATGGAATGATGAAAGTATAATAAGTCCCCTACAAATGAACCTTCTAGTTGCAAACTTTCAAAGATACAAATGTATCTTTGTTTGCACGTGATCTTTCAAAGATACAAATGTATCTTTGTGCATTCCCACATTCAGCCAATCATATAAGTTAGTCCATGTGTCTGACATACATTGTCACGTGCTTGCAAGGTATTGTACTGTAAAATCAAAAAGGTTTTCTGTATTTTTTTTGTTTTTTTAATGTATTATTTGTGTGAAAAGTATTATCAACCTATTACAGTACAATACTATATAGTTGATTGTGTTAGTTGAGTACCTAACACAAAGTCAACTTTGTTGGACTTATGAACAAATTGGACTTAGGAACGCACTCTTGGGATGGGATTTGTTCGTTTGTTGAGGACTTACTGTACTGACTTTTCAAACAAAATGGCCCATAAGCGTGAGTCGGCAACTTCATCCAATATTCGGTGGAGGAAGCAATGCCTGTTCCAGTGCAAAAGGAAAGACTTGTTTATGTTGGACTTACGGACTTAGGGAATTTTTCAAAGATTATTTTGAATACTCAGTTTGACCTTAGGACCTAACCCCCCAGTAAAATCAGGACTCTACTGAATGTAAGAGCCATAAATAAAGCTTTGAATTAAAGTGATGCTGTAGAGAGGAGGGAGATGTGGTTGTCGGGAAAGATTTCTCAGATGGGCCGCAAAGGCGTGAAGGATGTTTGGGGAATAACAGGTAAAGCATGTGTTCTACTGCCTGGCACATAGCTGAGTCGGGGTACGTGGCAGGAGGTGGGAAACAGGGCAGGAATGGGGACATCGGGGTGCCGAGGCTTTCAGATGACCAGGAGAGAGATGAGAAACCTTTAAGTTAAAAAAATTGTAAAATATACATAACAAAACTTACCATCTTAATAATCATGTAAGTGAACAACAGTTCGGTGGCATTAAGTACATTCATATTATTTTGTAACCATTATCACCATCTGTCTCTAGAACTTTTCATCATCCCCCCCCACTGAAACTCTGTCCCATTAAACAATAACTCCCCAAACCATCAAGTTTTATAGCTTTTAGAAAAAATTTTATTGAAGTGATAGGTGTTCACTGAAGACATGTGGTCGCCTTTATATAGAGAGTGAGAAGAGGAAAGCATGGCAGAGACTCAGACTTGTCATGTATGTGGCCAGGTCACTGGTCTTGCCTGTAATATCAGCATGGACAGAGAAGTGTAGAGGGAGATTCTGTTTAAGACAGCATTGTAAATTGGATGCCTAGAAGCATCCAGGTGAAAAGAGATACCTACCTTGGAAATGTATATTCAGCTTGTCCCCTGTCTTTCTTTAATTCTTACTGCTGTCCTATTTCACGCCCTCATAATTGCAGTTTTTAAATAAGCATTTTTTAGATTTATAGAAAAGTTGCAAAAATCATACAGAAAGTCCTCTTATACCCTTCACCCAACTTTCCCTCATGTTCCAGATCTTGTATATCACCATCAAATTTTTTTTTTTTTTTTTTTTTGAGTTGGAGTCTCTCACTCTGTCACCCAGGCTGGAGTACAGTGGCACGCTCAAGGCTACCAGAGCCTCAACCTGCTGGGCTCAGGCGATCCTTCTGCCTCAGCCTTCCAAGTAGCTGGAACTACAGGCACACACTACCATGCCTGGCTAATTTTTTGATTTATTGTAAAGATGAGATCTCGCCTAGTTGCCCTGGCTGGTCTCGAATCTATGGGCTCAGGCAGTCCTCTCACCTCGGCCTCCCAAAGTGCTGGGATTAATAGGCACGAGACACTGTGCCCAGATCAGTTTTCAAAAGTAAGAAATTAACATTGAGCTGGGTGTAGTTGTACACACTTATAATCTTCCCAGTCTTTTGGGAGGCTGAGGCCAGAGGATTATTTGAGCCCAGGTGTTCAAGGTCAGGCTGGGCAACATAGTGAGACCCTATCTCAAAAAAAAAAAGTAAAGAAAAAAAAATTAACATCGGCCACATACTGTTATCTAAATTACACACTTTCATTTGAATTAGTTTTCCACTGATATCCTATTTCTGTTCCAGGATCCAATCTGGATATAATCTAGAATGCTACATTACATTTAGCATAATTGCCTTTTAAATGTTGGAATAAACTTTCTTAATTATCTTTTTCTTTCTCTAATCTGTATTTCATACTGTCTTAAGAGTTACCTTTTTTGAAGAATTTTGTTCAGGAAAGAGAGTGCTGGCCAATAGCTTTTGATGACAGAGAGAGAGGGGTCAGGTAGGATGCTTTCTTTAAAAAAAGGTAATTTTAGCTGGGCTCGGTGGCTCAGCCTGTAATCCTGCACCTTTGGGAGGCTGAGGTGAGTGGATTGCCTGAGCCCGCGGGTTTGAGACCCACCTGGGCAGCAAGACCTCATCTCTACAATAAAT